ACTATCAAAAGCATCACAAGCAAAATTAAAACGAGCAATACCACGTCAAGAATGGATGTTGAACCATGAAGACATTATTTTCAAAGAAGTAAAATTCCTCATGGCTCTCTAACTTCAAAGTCATCGAATTTATTTGATCTAATTTAGTGCGTAGGTCAACGAAATGCTAATTCTGTAGAAGAATACGTGGGAGAGTTTGTGTGCAATAATGTCACCCGTCCAGTATTCTTGAAGACTGTGGGAATTACAGTAAGTTTCCGAAGACAGTTTCCTTTGTGGACCACAAAAAAATATGCAAACAAAGCTGACTTAAAATACTCATATGGATACTGTTTGGGAGGGTTAGGTCAAGCTTCTATCTAAGCGGCAGCTCCTACAAGCCAATCATCTCCTCTTGCCCAATACCGTACATCCGAGCGGATAGCGTCCCCAAGTACGGTATGGGCGAGACTTCAAACTTGAATTTCTCGGCTATGAATGAATGAAATGAGCTGCCGTTTGAAGAATAACTTGGAAAGAACCATCCAATACACCTGAATTCAAATCATAAAAATAATACAAAAAAGATTGTTTCAGTGCAGCCGCGATGTACGCGCTCGAGTTATGAAAGAAGCTCGATTATTACGATCTTTACGACATCCAAATGTTGGCGAAATCTACGGCGTTGCTTTACATTATAGCCCAATTATACTCGTTCTTGAATACTTCTCGAGTAAGCAAGTTACTCCAAAAATTTAACAAAAAATAATGTTAGATGTTCAGAATCACTTCACACTCATCTAAAACAAAATGCTGGACGAACTACAGAAGAAGAAAGGCGTAGATTTATAACCGAAGCTGCTGCTGGATTTGCATATTTAGCAGAAAACGGCTGCATACACAGAGATATTTCAGCCAAAGTTTGCAAGCTAAATGATGATTTGGTAAATGAAAGAGCATGCAGAAAAAGAGAAGAGATTGACGAAATCTTTCAGGAATTGAAGATCTCCGGTTTTTCGCTTTGCGAAAACACTAAAGAAATGCATGAGTCAAACAATATCCAAATTGCTGTGAAATGGCAGGCTCCAGAAGTGTTAAAAGGCGGAAATTTTAGTCTAAAATCAGATGTTTGGTCATTTGGTGAGAAAAAATCAATAAATTCAAAAAAATCCTTATACAAAATTTCTAGGCATACTTATGTGGGAAGTGTACAACGATGGAGCTGAACCATATGCTGGAATGACTCCTAGCGTTGTGAAGAGTATGATTTTAGAAGATGAGTATAGAATGCCAGTACCTCAGGTATGCTTATATCTCAATGAAGAATTCGGGAAAAGCACTGTAATCTTGGGATATTTAGGAATGCCCAGAAGTCATAGCAAAGATCATGTCATCATGCTGGGAAACATATCCACGAAAACGACCATGTATGCAAGCAATCTATCTAGTTGTAAGAGATAACTAAGCAGTCGAAATAAAAATTCCCATAAAATTATTATTTCTCTGCCAAATTTTCATC